TGACATCAAGGGAAAATACTAATATCCAAATGAAGCTTCGACTGAAGCCGGACGAGGACGATCCAGATAGCCGAGAGAAGTGGTATCGACTTATAGGATAGTAAGTAAAGAAAATGAGAAATGAAAAAAATGCCAAAACAATATGATCTCAAGATTATATATAAAATCTCGGACATGATAAATCACAGACACTGCACTCATGGAGAATCACACATAGTAGTAACTAACAACACATGAAAAACACAGTAAGAAACTTCATATGTAGTAGCAGTAGCAGTAGTAGCAAACACGGAAATGAAACACACACAAGAAACAGAACGAAGGGAATCCCGAGAGGTTAGTTCGATTACCGATATCATATATCTCAATGCGATGGCGTTTCGACTTAATCTTTCCACACCCATTCAAAAACGTACATGAACGGCTCATACGGATAGGTAGTAGTTACGACAAGTCCCTGGGCGTATTCGACCAGGTCTTTGTTGGGGATATCAAGGGCTCGGAAGCGTTCCTTTTCGCCACCGCCGCCACGGACTCGTACGCGCTTATCGACCAAGGCGCGGAGCATTTTCTTCCCCGGAGCGACGAGAAGATATCTTGCTTCTTCTGTTGGGTCAGAGCCGGGGGATGCGGGGGCGTAGAAAGTAGAATCTTGACGCTCTGGGGTGGTCCATTGGACTTTGCTGGGCGGGAAGAGATGTGGAGGGTTGTTGATCATGGTGTAGCGGATGTCGGATTCGCGGGCGAAGACGATGACTGTGTTAACGTCTGGGTTGAGTTTCATCCGGAAGGTAGTGAATTTGCGATGGTCGAGATGGTAAGCGGTACTGGCTGTTATATTGACAGGTCGGGTGGTGTCGAGTTGGCGGATTCTAGTGATCGCAAGGTCGCGTGCTGGGACGGGGCATTTGTGCTTCATTCGGATGGACTTGGATTCGAGACGGGTGACGGATGGGATACATTGGGAAGCATGGGAGGCTGAGGCAGCCTTGTGACATATGTCATTGCAGAAACGGAAGATATTACAGGCTGGTCGTTGCGTATTAGGTTAGAATTGCGCGTGGGAAAGGCAAGGGAAGGGATACCTACTGTTGCACAAGGTGGTGGTAGGGGTGCCGCACTTCTCACACGGCCCGGGCTCATGCAATGCCCAATCTTGCTTCTCAGCTGCGAGCATATTTCTTCGTCCGTTGAGGGCCAATATCCTCTCCTCGGCGAACCCTATCCTCGTCTCCAGGTAGCGGTCTTCCGGGGTTCGTCGCGCCATATGGACTATCTGTTTGTAGGCAAGTATGGCCTTGTCGATAGAGTCGAGTTGTTCGTGGGAGACACAGAGGGCGCTGAGAGCATCATACGTTTCGATTGCTTCTGGTCCCTTGATGGCCAACCAGTCTTCGACCAAAGATTCGAAAATATTCGCAGCATCCCGATAGAGGCCAGCGTTGATATACGATCGTCCTAAATGTTGGATGACCCGCAGGGCGTCTGGTTCCTGAGAATGTTGATATTGATCAAGAATGTCATTTATTTCACTTGGAAAGTCAAAATTCTCAGAGCATTCAAGATACCGAATGACCGCTTCTCTTGTGATAGGACTGGTAATACCGAAGACTGCCTTGTAATGTGGGATGGTTCGGCCACAGATCATTTGCGCCTCCTTGTTCAGGTCAAGTTGGTGGTACAGGAGAGATAATTGGTTCTTTGCAGTCAATGTTCTTTCATTATGCAGCCCAAAAACCGTATCGAGTGCCGGGGCTGCTTTCTCCAGAAGGAGGAGGGCCGATTCCTTATCACCTAAAGCGACCTTCAGCGTGGCAAGATCCTGCATGCTCTTCAGAGTCTCTGGGTCGTTGTGCCCCAATGTCTTCAAGCGACCTGCAAACGAGCGCTCGTATAAAGCTGCTGCTTGTGTAGCATATCCATCCTTTGAATCGAGCGCTCCTAGGTCATGCAGAATGGCGAAATTATCGGGATGGTCGCGCCCAAACGTCCGCTTGAATAATCCAAGAGCCGTCAAATAACAGACAGTCGCCTCTTGTGTCCTTTCCAAATGGCGATATACCCGTCCCAAGGAATGGAGAAGTACCGCTCGGCAATGCTTGTCATTATCTAATGCTGGACACTCATCGAGCAATCTCAGCGCATTGTGAAATTTGCTCATTGCAGTTTCCAGATTCCCCTGATTCAGAGCATTCTGGGCTCGCATCTGTTCGTGGAGAATACGAGACCAAACGCTTGCAGCCGCGAGCTCGTCTTTAATCTGTAGGAAAAGCTGGGCAATCTCATCAATCTTCAATATTCTTTGACGCCCAGATGCATCGTGAACAATTGCGCCGCCCGAGATATGCTGGGTGTGGATGAAGATATTCTGCGTTTCCCGTAGCAAGGCCATGTATTCGGTTTCCGCGACAGATTCCTGCGTAGGCTCAGTCACCTGCGTCCGGCCATCCGTCGAAACCACGTCACTCTTCCGGGTCGTTTCTGCTCTTCTTTCGCTTCGCGTGTACTTGGTGACAAACGAGAACCGTATGGTGTTCGCTCTCTTAATCAACTTCTTACCGCGATCTGAGGTAGATCGTGCACGCGAGACACCTACAGTAGTGAGTGCTAATTCGGTAGATTGGCTTCAGCATACTGACCTTTGGGGACCTTGCGACCGAAGAGTCTCTGCAAGAATGATTGCCTCCATGAGGCTCTTTGTTGCGCTTGCGGGCGTTCTTTCTCAGCCTGGCCACTCCGGAGCTCGTTCTTAGGGCCCGGACGACCGCTTTCCTCTTCACAGAGCGTCCTTTTAGACTCCACCATGGATCCATTATAATTAACTCCTATAGACAGAATGTTAGCTGAGCTTCTGGCTGTCTAGTCGGCTTCATATATACCATTCGTAGCGTAGCTCATTGTTGACAGAGCTGTTCCCGGCTCATTGTTGCCTTCAATTTGCTGATAGATGCCGTGGGGGGCATGTACTGCCAATCCAATTAGCAATTAGAGATAATCAGAGAACCTGGCGGCATACCTCGTTCCAGGTCATATAGCCCCGAAAATCCGATAGCGACCAGCTCATCCTCCTCTCCTTGTGAGAACTCTTAGCTGTATTAGTACGGAAAGTATTCAATGATTGATTGGGAGATAACGTACTTCTGAGCGACCATGAATCACGTATCTTTCGGGCTTTTTTGGAAAAGGACTGGTCCCCAGCGCCGTTCGTTGAGGGGACTTTGGAACCCATGGAGCCTTTTTGCGTAAAGCTAGAACTTCGACTGTGATTAGCACTGGCCATGTCCCTCGCCGTGCCCCTAACAACGATGTCGTCCCGCGGATCGTTCAAGATCGGCTGGTATCTGCAGTCCTGACGTCAGAAAAAGTGTCCACTGCACACCTAGAAGCTCGAGCACGAGGAATTACTGACGAGACATTGCATGGTTCACCGCAATGCTTGCAGTCAACAAAAAATGGCGTATCTGAGACTCGGTTAGACCCCGCTAGTGATAAAGACAGTGGCGGATCATACTTCGTTGCCGATCAAGCCCTTCCTCACCATCGCCAAATGTGAATGGCCTTTCACAGTTGCCACAGAAAAAGCAAATCGGCCGGGAGTTGAGCGGGATGAAACGTTTCTCAACACGGTAACCTTTCGTGATTAGACTATAACGGTAGCTCCAGTCAGCAATTCTGTCTAGACAAATTGGACAAGGATCAGATACCGGTCCCGCGTCATCACATATACGGCAATTGCAGTGCCAGGACAGTATTTCGTTAGATAATGATGTTTCAACTCGCTTCTGCATGACATGTCAAAGTCTGTACCGATCAAGGGGAATATCAGGTTCGGCCGTACAGCGAAGAAAAAACCGCATTGCAGTCGGGACAATTGATATCCACTGCACCGAATATAGTCCCATCATCGTCTCGGAACGGAGGAAAACAACGCAAAGCCTCCTTCGTATTTGCAACACCGGGATAAGCATCATCCGTCTCTGCCAACCAGATTAGTCCCAGTTTTAGCCGATGCAAATACAACCACAGGCTGCACCCATATGTAGGTAGCCGGGGGGCAGCATACCGCTCGTAGATCTGCCGACTAAAGACAGCAGCACGTCTGAGGCTCTTAGAACACGGCCTTTGGCCTCGAATCTATTTGGAGCACCCTGTAACGAATTCCTCAGGATGATATCTGTATCGAATTGTCGCTTTGCCTCCGTCTGCAGCCCTCGAATGTCGCCGAAATCTCTGACCAATCGATATCGTGGGTTAGTTGTTGATTGATCATCCATACAGGCTGCAGCCATGACAGCACAGGAATGCGTGAACTTACCTCTGAACCGACAGGTTAGCGTCGGGAACGGATTCCGTAGCCATCTTGGGGGGAGGTGAAGAAGATGCACAAGGACAGGAGAATGAGAGGGAAAAACGTTGAAGATGTGCGGCTGTCCGTTTCAAACAAAATGTCGGGAAGAGATCAGACCCTCAAAAGTCAGGATGAGGCGTCACTTTTAATGAGCTGTTGGACATGCTGGCGCAGATACATACATATGCAGGTCAGCCGGTGGTCTTGTCTAGAAGTAAACGGCGGTGCCCCATTCTTGATGGATTCTAGGAGGGACTGGGGAAGTTTCTCCTCTAGCGCTAACGCTTGTCATCCCTCGCATGTTAGTCTGGAACAAAGCTTGCGAAGGAGAGGCGCTTGAGTTCAGTGAAAAGTGATATATTGGACGATTGATCGATTGGAATGCCGAGGGAGGGATGGACGACAGGGTTGGTTGGTAGGCTTTGCCGCTCATTTTCTTGCATCACCAGCATCGATAACATTATCTTGATTCCACAAACTGACCGACCGCCTTGATGCAGCCAGTGAGTGCAATGCCTGTGTCCCCCTCGTTTTCCTCCCTGCAATAAACAAACCGACCCCCCTTGCGTCGAACAAGTTCGAGGGTCAAACCTGTCCGCGCCTCTCTGTTCTCACCGCATTATGTCTGTCCCTAAGTCGAGCCATAGATATATCATATCATATCGATCTTTCCTTTCCCTTTATTTGCTTTGCTCATGATTTCTCCCAGTCTAAGCAATGCTATTGGCACATCATTCGTCAGATCTCCCAGGCTGAGTCGTGCTTCTCGGCGAAGACTCGAAAAAAAGCAAAGGGAAGCCTCGTTTGCGATCGTCGGGGGCCCTTCTCTCCTCCCGAGTTGATACATCACAACCGCGTCAGGGACGTTTCCAATAATTGGCTAGACCACGAGATAGTTCCAGCAATATCCATGCCAGTCGAACTGCTTCGAAGGACATGTCAAGGTTGGGGACCCCAATGAATAAAAGAACATGCTGGGTCTTTGGCTGTCAGCTGAAGCACGTCCGGACGTGCGTGCAAGCGGGATCCATTCGACCTCACCGTGTCCATGACAGCTTGCATAAAGTAATGAAGCTTCCTGCAAGTTAGGAAACTAGAATAGAACACCCGAAGAAGCACCAAGGAACCGGGTGGGATGAGCGTCGAAGGCAATTTCCCGAGACAATAGTCTGGAAGTTTGTTTCAGGCCCGATTTGTCACATCGGAAATAGTTATAATTAACCATTAAACTTTCACCCTTTTGTTCGATGCTCTGGCCACTCTCTCCAGGGCGTCAGGGAAAGAACGCCCGCCGAAGCAGATGGCTTTCGAAAGTTGAGTTGGCTTGGGTTGAGACGGGAAGGTTCGGGATTTCCGCTGGCCTGTAAGGATAGGATAGCCTTACCCTCAACACGGTCCGTCGGCCCTCTTACAGTACGTGGACTGGCGTGACGTACCGGCTGATGAACAATCTCAAATGCTCTCGACACAGAATAGATGATCATTTTGCCATCATCCAGGGCTCCTGCTAGCTTTCCGTCCATCGCTGAGCTCCTTGCAAATCGGGTGACGAAGGCCGCCTTGATTTCTAAAGCTGCGCCATTTCAGCACTATAAGCCTGGGTGAACAGTTTCAAGAAGGGGGCTCCGGAATTGCTACAGAATGATGCTGGAATTTGGAAGGTATATCCCTAAGAAAGAGAGGGGGTTATCCAGTAGATCAGCGGGCGTCCCTGTAAGCTCCAGCTCCGCTAAAAGAGGAGTCTAGAACAATGTCTAATCATGGTTCTTCAGAAACTTGGATGGTCAAGATTTGAATGGTAAAATATGGCTATACACGCTTGTAGTAGAGATGGAAGTAACAAAGAAATTGTGGTACACAGTGGTATCAACCCAAACAACAACGCCTTAGAGTTAAAGGAAACCCTTGGAAGAAGGCAGGCCGTAATGCAATGCAATTATGAATCAGAATATACAACAACTGCAGGCCTAGCTGCCATTGATGTGAAGGTAATGCGACAACGGTTCTTGAGGATGTATTGCTGCTCAAGCCCATTTCCAGCCTGAATGTCTCGACTCCGGACTGTTGATGACCGAGGAGAGAAAGCTTTTGCGTTTCCTCAGGGAAAATCCCCTGCTGCTCTGCTCATGGGTCCTGCGTTCCCTGGTGAGTAAAGATATCGCCGCATTCATGTTTATACCTTCGCCACTGTCTGTTATCTTGAGGGCCCACTTGGCATCCTCTTCCGCAAAGCCAAGCTCTCGAACCATTATGTCAATGGCGTGGTCAACAGGGTCGCGGACCTGTGGTGGGTAGTACCCTGGTGTGACTGGGTGGAGGGGTTGCATATAGGACACGTTTGTCACGTAAGAGTGGGTAGTAGGCGGTATCTCTATCCTTGACACAGACATTGGCGGCTGAGGCGCGGGCGGAAGGCCTTCTAGGCGGCTCATGATGGTCGCATAATGAGATATGGGCCGTTCTTCAGCAAGCATAGGATTGGGTGGACTGGGCTGCTGCTGCCTCTGATTCCTTAATTGGGCAGAATAGGCAGCTTGCCGTCGGCGATGGAAGTCAGGCGAAGTCTCTCTCTCGCCGGGGACGTTAGACGTTTGTGATACATCATGCAATCCCGAAGGTTGAGAGCCAAAGCCAGGAGAGCGCATTGACACCTGAGAAGTACTACTTCCCCGTGGCTGGCAAGCTTTCGACACAGCCTCTCTCAGGAACGACGAACGGCTCGCACCAGTGTCAGATGCTTCCCAGTTTGTCAAGCCCATCGAATGGGCTCTCTGGAAAACAGCAGTAGTGTTGTCATAGGGATGAATTGAGCCGAGCACCAAGACTGCTGAAAGTCCAAGTGTGAGAATGTAGTAGGTCCACTCCTCTGCTCACACGGGTTAGCGATTTGGTAACAGTGAGACCAACGACAACCTCACCAAGGTGAGATTCGCTTACCTAGAACTGCTTCTTCCTTGGCAGAATCATTTGCCTCTACATTATGCCCGTCGAATACTCCAGTTGCTCGTGCTTCAATACACTTACCGTGCATTGGCTGAAGAAGCACACCTAAGCAGGTCCATATCTCCGTCATATCAAGAAGCTGCTCCTTTGATAAGCCTCCTGTATTGCCGCCCCCGAATCCCGCAGGAGGTTCGAACAAAACGCTATTCGCGTCATATGGATCGGCTATAGACGTGAAGTCCGAGACACGTCGGTTCCTGGCTACCTTGCCACCCCTCAACCAATCCAACTGCCCCGCGATGTCTCCCTCTCTACCTTTCCCGGAACCGAAAAGGCGACAGAAAGTCCAAACCCGCCAAAAGGCATCATCGACCTCGGCGGCACGAACATCATCGGTGCCGGATAGCCCACGGATCGTTTCGGGGTGCAGAAAAGTCCCACAACGAGCTAGTATAAGCGATTTGAGATGAGCCAGTGTGTATATATCCTCGGCATAGCGCTTGAGATAGCGGCAGGGCGTGTATTCAGGCACAGGGGCGTCAGGATCCAGCACAAATTGCCATTCAGTATCCCATGGCGGACTCATTTCGCGCAACTCCCACGCTGGCGCAGACATGGCGAATACAGCTATCCTCATAAGCTTCAGCTCGTGCCTCTTAAATACCCGATAAAAGTCTCTGCGAACTACCGCAACATTGAAAAGGTCATCAAGGGAGGTGATATGCTCCAAGACCGTTAAAATAACGCGGTCAGGCAGAGTAGCAGGCATTGCTCCAATAGACACACTGACAGATACCCTGACAGGTACATCGATCGCAGTGGTAGTATCGCCTTGCAGCTCGGCTGGCGGTTGTGGGGAACCGCCCTCCAGCTCATAGACCATCGCTGAAGTTTGCGAAGTTTGTTGATGTTGACGAGTGGCTGGTATACCATCGAGTTTACTGTACGATACGAAATACTTATCTCCGACAGAGGCACCCCTCGCTCTCTCATGCGGCCTTCTCAGCTGTTCAGGGCCCTCATGAGTGCTGTGGATGTTGTCTCTTTTCCGACCGGACTCCCCCATTTCCTTTGTCTGAAGGCGGGGAAGCCTCATCCGAAGTTCCTTCTCCCCGCCAGCGGAAAGAGGTCTCTCACGGAAACCAATGACTGAAGATCCCTGTAACTCAGCGATCTCGCCGTCTCCAAGTTCTGCGACAGCTGGCTGATGTAAGATGCTGGCCCTGTAGGATTCCGGTTCTGACTTGGAGCTGGTGTTACTGGTGGATCGCTGATGGACACGACTCAGTTTCCGACCGAAAGCTGGTACTGAGAAGGAAAAGGACGGTTTGTTCTTCAGCGATTTCTTTGTTTGTTTCACATCTTCGCGGGATTTGACTTTGTGGATCTGACGATTGTTATGCACGCTAGCAGGGGGTCGAGGGGCTGGTCGGGTCGCAACCATGTCCATATTGCCTCTACTAATCTGCAGAGGCCCGTCTAGAATCTGAAGAGGACTGCGAGGAGAGAGTTGCGCGGGAGGCTGCTGCTGCTCACCGAGTCCGGCTAGAGTCCTCTCCAGGTCGTTGCACGCCTGCGACAACGTCGGATGATGATGGCTTGCATGCTTCTTTGACCGTGGCGGAGGGTCCAAGCGACCAACATATCCGGGTCTTCTATCGTGCATTTGAGGGGTTTTATGGCGGATTGAGAGTGGAGTCAATTCAATAGGGGGCTCCTGAGGCAGAGGCTTGTCTTTGGACTGAGCAATTGAAGAGCGGCTCGGGAACGGAGGAGGAATTTGATGCGCATATTTTGACTCGTCAAAGACGCCAGCCTTTGTGGGTGACGTTATGTGAAGACTATCCACCAACTTATGAACTGGTGATGTAGCTTCGGATCCCTGACTCGTCAAGGAAGACCGGCTAGTGTAACTTGATGACCTGTTATCCGCCACATCTTCAGACGACAGAGAAGAAGGTCCTTTGCTCCTTCTTTCCGGTTGCTGTGAGGGGCCGTCAATATGAGGCGGGCCCTTCGTGTGAGGTTGCGGAAAGGGCGGATTTGTACTGTTAGTAGGGGACGCCAAGGAGAAGTGAGAGGAGAGTTCGGGGAAAAAGCGAGCCCAGCGAGTTCCAGACCATGGAGGTGCTCTCTCAGAAATAGGCGAAATAGAATCGTCATCGTCGTCTTCGTCATCTCCAGCAAAGTCATCGTCCACCATGTATGGGGCATCTGATGCCTTCTCTTCAGGAGGGGGAGAAGTTGGTCCCATAGCGACAGCGGTGGGTTGTGGAACGGGTGAATTGCGCTTAGGCAAGTCCAGCACCTCCATCTTTGGGACTGAGGGGGCCTTTAACTAGCCCTATACCAACTCTTGAAAGCCTGTTTAACGTAGGACTGGCTTCCGCACCGAGCCAACAGTCTTTCCCCTGGGGCACCTGGATGGTTCGATGGTAACAATTGGCTGCTACCTATACACAAAGTCCGTTGTCATATGGCACAGTGCACCCGTCCGTTTAGGGACATGTACAACATGGTCTTGAAGACGCCCTTGTTGTTATCCTTTGTTGGGTCCGACAATGTTATTTCGGGGTTTGTTCCGTATATTTAGAAGTACGACTGGCCGAACTAAGTAGATACTCCCAAAATCCGAACGAGCGGAGTCCGAAGTGGAGGGCCGGAGATGAATGCGAGAAAGCCGTTCCGATAATTCAATAAAGGTTGGACTCAAGTTTGCGTGAACCCTTTCAGAAAGGGTGACAAGGATAGCGAAAGGTGGCACCCGACTGTTCGCGACGGATCAGCTCAAAGGGATCACGGAAAGCACCGTGTTGGGTTCAGTATAACTGACAGTCAATGCCGAGCGGGCGAACAAAGAAAAAGAGTTTTGATGGAGCAGATGACGCGCGACCGACAAAGAGTCTTGAGATGCACACAGCTACGAGTATATGAGAGGTTGTAGCAGATAGAAATGCCATTGAAGTCCTAACCCAAGCAAGACTGGAATGAAATCTGACTCGAAATCCTGGTCATCGCAGTCTCCACGTGCCGGGGGGAGGTGCTTTTCTTATCCCTAAATCGGAGGGAATGCGCGTCCGGGCAGTTGGGGACATGACGCCAGCGAATAATTAATGGAGTAAGCAGAGGTGGATGGGCACAGCGATAGGCTAGGGAGACGGTGGCACGAAGAATGGATCGACTCTAAACCGCGGGGGCCAAAACTACTCCTAGTAGGGAGTAGATACACAGTTTAGTGAGGGAGACTACTGTAGTTGTCCGTGCCACTCTGTTATTTCCCGGGGAGGAAAGCGAGTTGTTTCTTGTCAGTCAGAGTCTCCGCCCGTCTTTCCGGATCCGAGGGGCCAAACATTCTCCCCTGGTCACACTCTTTCTCCATCTTGATGACAATAATCCACATCCTCTGGTTTCGCCTTACGAGGATACTCCTATTGCAGATAGGTTACCAGCAATATGCCTTACACTCGAGGGACTACTCTATCCTGAAGCCGTGGAATCTGCAAAAGACCCAGATCGTGGCTGCGCCATCCACCAGCCTTCTGATCGCCAATCCTCCCGCAGTCCCCATTGTCTCTTCAGCTCGTATGACCGTTACCGAATTCTGCTACAGCCACAGCCTTGATCTATTAATTTCTCCCTTTTAACCCACCTTAACCTACTTGGATCCAGTGCAGACGCTAAAATGCAACGCCATTCGCTGTGGCTTGGGAACCAGGCAGTGTCTCACGAATGAGATACTAGGGAGCACACTAAACCCGGACTGGGATGACGATTCCCAGCAGATTGCGTACGCCGTCTCTCTCCATCCCTGTCTGCCTCATGCAAACCCAGGTAGGTGGGTGCCCAGCATCATGGATTCAATTGTGTCGCCGGCCTTCGGACGTCGGAGCACACTCATGCCTGCATGCAATGAAACGGATCTGCGGGTACGTAAATCCGTCTTTAAAACTCCGTTAATCTACGGAGTCGTTGAGCCCAAACGAAGCATGCTTTCTTAGTAAGACTCGAGGGATCGATCCATCCTTACGAACGGTCGCTTGTTATTCGGTTCCTCGAGTCCCGGGATCAATGCAAATGTGTTTGAGACAGCCGATCACCATCACTTAGCTAAGACGGACTCCAACGCCTCAGCTGCTTCCGCGCATGGATTACTATTTTCATTACTATTTAGTTGCTCGACGAATAGATCCGTGGATCTGGAGAGCATCGTGGTTCATATTGGCGTTGGTTTCATGGGAGTTTGCAGCCATTTGAATCTCGTCTGGAATGAATCTATTCTGCGTTTCGGCGTGTCTCACGAGGCACATCATTAATGGCCCATCGACAAGAGCCCCATACAAGTCACCTGACTATAATCTGACTGACTCCTTGTTCAAGGCTTCGTAACAGTGTGATTTCTCGACAGGTCCCAAATTAACACAAGGAAAGTTGACTACGTGATGATTGCCTAGATCATCCTAGTACTCTCAAGGTGGGTTCGAGTTGCATTACCATGCCGTATCAGGTTATGGTTCAGGTACACCCGCACTGGACCGTACTTTCCTCTATCTACCTGCAAACGATAACGCTCGTCGCCCAATTAACAGCAGAAATTGGGAGACCGGGCTACAGAGACTGTGTCGTGCCATGTGTTCTAGCCCCTAAATCAAGGTGGGCCTGCAGCTCAGCTAGGCTTCCCTATTGCAGCTCTCGGATACTCGGGGGACGGAAAATGGGGGCCAAATGGAACAAACGGGTCGCTCAACAAACCATTCATTAATCTGAACGTTGTCGGGTGATCATGCGGAGCATGGTCCAGTAACTACTTATCTAGCGCACTGCCGTCATTTCACCTCTGGCCCCTTTTTATCTTTGATTTGATCAGGCTCCTTCCTTTTGCGTACACTTGTCACTGTTCTCTGTCGCCCCCCTGACGAGCTTACCCAACGCGGTAGGATCAAGTAATGAATGTCTCAACTTTTATATACTAGTGCTCTAAGAAGCACACGTTGCGAATTCTGAGATTTGATGTCAAACTAATTGCTAAACGAACGTGAACACCACCCGCAGGTCCCAAGTCCCCAGCGCCCAATCTATCTTCCAACATAGACTAGCTAGCCTGGCAATCCAGGGAAATCTTCAGACGACCTATTACAACATCAACCAGACATCAAACTCAAATAAATGGCCCAGATAACACCAAACAGACTGCCAACAAGCAGCCGTTTGTCTGTTGGTACAACTGTGAAGTTCAAGATAGAGACAATAGGCCACAGCTTGAATCCCGCGATCAGGATGGGCCAGAAATCCTGCCATGTTAGGTCAGCATCCAACGGATTATAGCACCATAAGCCTAGAAACGAACCCTCTGAATTTGCAGCGTAATGGCATCCCAGCTCTGATCGCGCAAAAGTCCCATTGTCATGATAAAGGCTACCGTGTTCCAGGCACCACCGACAATCTGATCGATGACAATCTTTGCCACAGTATTCGTCACATTCAGTTTAGGCTTGTGTGCCTCCTTCTTCTCCGTCTTCGGCTTGGGAGCAGAGCTCTCATCATAGCCCGGAAATTTCGCCTCGAGACCCTCAAGCCATAAGAAGGTCAAGGGTGAAATAACAAAGGCACAAGTAGTAAACTGAAACAAGACTTGAGTGTCTAATTCAAAGGGTCTCTATAGGCATCAAGACATCGGCAACCATGGGGTCACCACCCTCACGAATTGCCGATGAACCGTGTCCATGGTTAGTGAAGCTGTAACCGAACAGCAGTAGCTACTACTCCACACAAGAGCAAACGAATCACTTATCTCCGGCCCGACATCATCGCCAGCCAGTTCACTATTACCGAGGAAACAACAAATCAACATACCTCATCCCTATAAGCGCCAATAGCCTGAGCCAGAACATTGGAACCCGCATTAATCAGCGCAGCTTGCAAGGTCGCCCTCGCTATCGGAGGAAAAGCCATGGTCAGATACTAGACACTAGTAAGATAAGCCGACGCGCGTGCCACACAAGTTCGTATAGTCTGCTCCGGCGTCAGCTCGCAACCACGTTGCCGGAAATAACAAAGTCTTTCTCCGTACTGCCCCGAGAGGGATTATGGGTAGTCTGATCGGAGATGCTACTGTTGGCGATCTTCAGCACTTACCTCGTACCGAAATCGTGTCAGGATTTTTTAGATCGATCGGTCGGCCGGCCCAGAACCGCGTGGTTTTAATTAATTGAAAGCTGGGGGCTGAAAGTGTGTTCCTGCGTTAAGGGGGGTTTGGAGGTTGAGGTAAATGGTGATAAGATTCTTTCCTAGAAGGAATTGTGTCCTTAGTTTCTGCCCTGGAATTAAATATTTTTTTTTCAAAGGGTCCGTGGAGTTAAATTGTAGATGGCGGCCCTGATCAACACTACTGAGTATCGGTGAGAGATGGGAAGTGTGGGGTGGGTTTCAAGGGAGAAAAGGGAAGGTTTACACGCTGCCGCTGCCACTGGACCCTTGCAGAATCCAGGGCTTGACCACTAGGAAAAAGATACTAAATTGGAGCCTAACAAGAAAAACTTTTTATATAAAATAATCTTATATACCCTTGTTGTGTTACTGTGTACATTGACAAAGGATGCTATATTCTAAGAAAAACTAGTTTGTATATAGTCTTTTGCCGGTTTACCCGGAGTTTAAAATCCATGTATACGCCCTATACAGAATACTTATAAAATATATATAAAGAGGATTTTTTTATTATAGAAAGATTATATATTAACAGACCTGGATACTATACTAAGTTGTTATGGGATGAACTTAGATTAGTTCTAACCTAAGCATGCCGTGCAAGCAAGATTCAAGAAGGAATAGTTAGAGAATAGAAAGATTGCAGAGGTCTGGTAGGAAGATAAAGAGACTGCAGTCATGTATAGTAAATATTACAGGTCTGTCCTATAATGGTATCTCCTTTTTTATCTAGATTTTCAGAGAAGAATATTTACCGAAGCAGGCATTGAATGTAGAACTATATACTATAATCTTTATATAAGATTTATTCTGGTTTTTAGAGGACTTTTTATAATCAGAAATCTAGTAATTATTTGAGCCACAGTACAGGCAAAGATTATTCTCAAAATAATAAAAACAGTAGAATAAGGTAGATGCAATAGACAAGACTAGTAAACTTGGATAAGCTATAAATATTTCTATAATATCTGTATTTATTGAGTCTGGTTTAGAGTGGGTATACCTGACCGTTATACCTGACCATTAACCTGACCATTAACCAGCAGTCAGGTTAAAATATAAGAATCTTTTTAACTATTCAGTTAAGATTAGATTACAGTTAAGGAATTGTCTTAGCGGTTATTAACCTTTCCTAATTACAAATTAGGAAAATCAGGTATAACAGATAGATTAATAACCACAGATTAATTTATAATTTTTATACACTTCTTACAATACTATTATACCAAGAATAAGATTATATAAAATATTGTATTTATGAGGTATCACAAGTAATATATTACTTATTAACTATATCTGATATTATCGGCTAGTAAAAATAGTAAAATAAATTTTATATTAAGTTTTTATAGGAAGTCTCTACTTCCTGTATATTAGTATATATTACCCTATTAGAATATTATAAAATACTTCTAATCTAGAAAAAATAAAACATGGATAAGATAATTCTTATATAAATAAAAAATATATATTAGAAAAATATATATTATCTCAGTATCTTAAATAATATACTAGATATAGATATTATCTTATAGACTAGTCACTCAAAGTCAGTAATAAAAATAAGTAGTAAGTATTTTTTTTATTTTCTTATTTCTAGTATAAAGCAGGAGTCTATTACTTATAATACTAATATTATAAACAGTAATATTATTCTCAAAAATCAGCTAATAAATATAGATATTTTTATCTAGATTCTAAACTTAAATACACTAATAAGCTTATCTTGGTTAGAATAAATTATAATATTATTAACTGAAATTTTATATATGTAATTATACTGCAGGCTGCCTGTATAAATATTCTAGATTTTAATTATATTATTTTTTAAACTAATAATTATCTACTTTTTTTTACAGTAAAATGTAACACTAGTTATATTATTTATATAATTATTAAAGACTATTGTGACGGCAAGTGATGTCTCAGGATTATATGACTTCTGTTTTATTTGCTTTATTTGTCTGTCTTATATAGCTTGCTTATCTTTATATAATTATATATTTTCTCTAAACTTTTTTCTTTCTTTTCTTATACTAGAAATTCTTGTTACATAACACTAAATTTAACTATTTAAATAATTTCTATATAATTTCTAATATTATTTTATTTTTTATTTTTTAAGTTAATATTATATACTACCAGCTATTTAGCTCAGTAGCCAGTATTATTTCTTATATATACTTAATAATGCTAAACACGGCTAAGATAAAATAATTTAATTAAAATCTGAACTAGAATAATTAATAAGAATATTTATAATAATTAGAAAAAATTATACTAAATTAATACTACATACTATAAATTCTTAATAATATCTAATAATCTTACTAGAAAGAGAGCCTGATAGTAAGAAAAATATTATTTATAATTAATTCTATAAATTATATATAAAGAATTCTAATAAAATCTTTAATATAATTCTCTATATTATAGAAGAAATAAAAATAAAAATATATAAGATTATCTACTAGTAGAACAAGCTTAATAATAATTATAATAAAATAATATATAAATATAATTTATATATAATCTAGTTTTTTTAATTAAATAATCAGAGCAGCTGAGCAGCTGAGACTTTTAAATCTAAAAAATTAATAAAGATTTCTAATTTATTTTTATTTAATAATAATAAGATTATTAATTTCAAAGACTGGTTTCTTATAATATAATAAAAACTAGAAGTTAATATAGATTATCTAAATATAACTACTGTTTAATAAACTTATATAATTAATTATTATAAAAATAATACTAGAAAGTATCTAGTCTTCTGACTTTATTCTGATATTTTAAATTTTTATATAAATATAATTAACATGCTTAAATACCTAAAAATTATTTATATTAATTTAAATAAATTTTATAATATATACTGACAGTATCAGAAGCTCAAAATAATAATTAATAATAAATTTTATAATTTTATATTTATATTCTACTACCTTGCTGTAGAAATAGATATTATTAAAATTTATTAAAAAAAAAATCTTTATTAATATTTTTTATTTAAATTATAAGAGCTGATAATGTCCTGCTTTAATAATAATAATATAATATTTAAATAATATATTAAAAAGTATATCTGATTATTAGATTTAATTAATAATATAATAAAATATTATAATAAAATAAATATTATAAGTTATTAACTGTTTATATTAATTATTATTATTACTATAATTATAATCTTCTTTATAATAACTAAGACTTTTTATAATACTAGTTATACTATTAGTATAAAGCCGGAGAAATATATTTATATAATAATTAAAAAATATTATTTTATCTGTTAGAAAAAAAATATTTAATATAAAATTATTTAAAAAAGAAAGCAGGCTAAGTTAAATTATTAAAAATAATAAAAAATAATAATTTAATAAAAAATAATATCTAGAAAAAGTTTTTTTTTTAAATAAAATAAATATTAATATTAATTTATTAAATTTATAAGATCTGTTAGGCCAAGAGAATAAAAACTTTATTATTAAAATTTTAATATTAAATAATAAATTAATAATATCTGTATATATTCTTGCTGATATTAAAATTAATATTTATATTTATATAAATATTATTTTTATTATTTAGATAGTCTGTTAATTCTAAATTAATATTATTTTTTTTAAGATTAATTATACTATTATAAGCTTTAATAATAAGATTATAATATTTTTAATTTATATTATTTAATTTATATTTATAGTTAATAAATACTAGTTATATAATATATTATTTTTAATACTTAAATTAAACTGCTATGATATTATCCTGAAATAAATATAATTTATAAAATATAAGATCTTATTAGATTACTAGTAAAATAAACTAATATAATTTAATTATTTTTTTTATAAGATAAAATTAAGATTAAATTATTATAATAAATCTTTTAAAATATTTTATTATAATATTAAATTAATTAAAATTATTAATAAGATATTATCTGATAAGACTATAATTTCTAAAAAATAATTAATATCTTATTATAAATATTTTTCTTTAAAATAAAATCTGAAGTACTTTGAATCTATTAAAATATTTTATAAAAAATCTTAATTAAAATATATTAAAATCTAATAAATTAAAATTTTTAATATTAAGTTTTTAAAGCCCCCCGGAGCCTTTAAAAAAGAAATATTTTTAAAAAAAATTAAAATAATTTTTATCAGAGCTATTATTTTCTATAAATATTTTTAGAATCTTGAATTAGAAATATTTATTATATTTTTAAATATAATTAAGAAAATTATTACAGAAAAGATAAATCTTTATAATAAAATATTTAAATTAATTAAAGAAAAGAAGATAAAGCAGATTCTTTTTAAATATTATTATAATTTAATAAATATTTTTTTTAAAAAAAAATTTAATACTTTATCTATCTTTTAATTCTATAATTATTATATTTAATTAAAAAAAAATAATTTATTGGAAACAGTCCCTCTTTATAAAATAATTTTAAAAAAACTTAAAACTACCTGTAATTATATTATTAAAAATTTAAAAAAAAAATTTATTATATTTAGTATAATCTTATTTACTTTTCTTATTCTAATAATAAAAAAGCCTGAAAAAAAATTATACTTGTATATTAATTATCAGAAACTTAATATTCTAATTTATAAGAATCTTTATTTTATTTTTTTAATTAATAAGATAATAAACTATCTCCAGAATATAAGAATATTTATAAAACTTAATATCTATTAAAGCTTTTATTATATTTATATAAATTCTAAATCTGAAAACTTAATTATTTTCTAAATTTATTATAAAATCTTTAAATATTAAATATTATTATTTAGATTTATAAATAGACCAGCAGCTTTCTAGTATTTTATTAATAAGATTCTTATAGATTTCCTAGATAAATTTATTATAATATATATAGATAATATACTAATCTTTAATAAAAATAAGATAAAATATAAATTTTATATTTATTAGATTTTTAAATATCTTCAGACAGCTGGATTTTAAGCAGTAATTTATAAATATAAATTTTATATAATAAAAATTAGATTTCTAGATTTTATTATTACTATTATAAATATTTAAATTAATTTTATAAAAACTACTGTAATTACAGAATAATAATATCTGATTATAATTAAAAAAATC